AAATTATTGATGTGATGGAAAATATTATTTTATTGAAGAATGTGTGGTTGAAAATGAAAATTGATTTGAGAATCAATTCTCAAATAAAAAACAAACACCCCCATATATCAGCACCGATTAACTAGCTATCTTCAATCAAGAACATCTTCATTAACCTCTCAAAATCCTTGCAATCACCGTCTTCATAGTCTATCATGTTATAGGTGTAACCGGACTCGAACTTGTTAAAAGTCGGACGAGTGACGATTCATGGTTCGGGCCAAGACCAACCCATAAAAATATATAAACCTAGAGCTAGCCCGCAGCCTTATCCATCAGCCTTCTTGAAAACGGTAATAATTATTTGCAGATGGTAAAAACTTCTTGCTTTTTTTTTTTTTTTTTCAATTGGCAATCCCTCCAGCCACAAACTTATTTTTTATTCGGAAAATTTGTACAATTAGTCCCTTAGCGTTTTTGAAAAATCCATCTCAAACTTTAATATTGGTCTTTTTAGTCCCCAAGTTTAAGTTCCATTTGCATTTCATTCTTATACATAATTCTATTAACTTCATCATTAGATTTTTCTTATAGGAAATGCAAAAATTAACTTTTTGATGGGTAAAGTTGACAAAACACTACACTTAACACTACATAATCTTTCGGACATAAACATTTCGTTCATTTTCAATTTCGTAATTTGAAAGAAAAATCCTTTCCATTTTTAATGCACAAATTTCTTTGATGGGGTAGTTAGTGAATCATACGACGTAGTTCCAATAGTAAAAAATCAAAAAGTTCAGTTGAATGCATGATTATTTATTAAGGAAGTTTTGGAAAATGTTGAACACGATCATAAATTGTGGTGAGTTTTTAAATTTATTTTTATTAAGCCCGAGCATAATTATGTATTGAAATTTTTGAATTTTTTTTTTTACTTTTTTATTGTATTTAGGTACATGAAAACTACGATTTTCATTTATTTTCGATTATTTATGTTCTGTATGATTAATCGAAGGCTAATTTGTTTGTATAAAATATTTTTTTTTTTTTCTTAACTATTTTTATTTGAACTTTTGTTTACAGATAGCACATTGATTACTTTTATATTTTGTTGGAAATAATAGTTTAATATATATGATTTAAATGTGTGAATTAAAAAAAGTCTACAATAGATGCATCAATTGTGTACGACTCTTCAAATGCAAAAGATGCAAAATAAAGAATCACGACATTTTGATAAAGTGCAATGCAGACCATCGATCTTGAAATGATGTGATCTAATGGTTGGAATTTTACCAAAAGATACGACCATTCGACATGACATATGAAAATTTATAAATAGGGCACTCCTAATTACATTTTCTTTACTTCATTTCTAATTCTCTCTCTCTCTCTCTCTCTCTCTCTCTCCAAATATTGTCGAAATAATTTCCAAATTATTTTGAGTTTCACATTCGATTTTTTGTATTCGATATCTTCCGTCCTAGAAGAATAAAATCAAGCGTTGGTTCGTCCGATAAAATTAATATTGTGCTATATTAATTTTAGAATAAGTGTTGTATCTTTAGAGACAAATGTCCATTTGATCTTATTAATATCAGTGCAGGAGGCGAAATCCGTCTTAAGGAGATTTACATTTACATATCTCACTTCTTTATATCTCCTTCTAATTTTTACATTTCAGTAAGTTGATATTTTGTACACTAAATTGATTTCTGTAAGTCAAAATTCGTCAATATTTTGCAGGTGTAAGTCGCGATTTTATTGTCTTTGTATGTACATAATTTTGTTTTAACAGAATATAATTCAAGCGTCAATTTATCTAACAATCTCGGGACGGATTTTATTTTACTTGGGTTTCTTCTAGCAAAGAATTCATTGCCAGACACTTTTGACGTTGTAAGCAAATTGATTCTGTTATCTGTTGAAAGTGTTGTATTTGATTAGCTTATGAGAGCACTTCCAGTTCTAAGCAAACGTTTTGTCTTCATTTTGCCAGTTTGTTCCTACTAATATTCCAGTGCTGAAGTTTTGAAATAGACATGAGCTTAATCATCCCAAGCATGAGCAAACAATATCTGATTATTGCCACAAGTTAGAATAATTCTGTTTATCCCCACAAGTTAAATATTCCTAATATACGTGAAATTGAAAAGAAAAAACAATGGGGAGATGACTAAACGTTGCAGAAATGGAAACCTCTGTAATGACACATAATAAAGGTCAGATGAAACCATTTTAAAGGGCATTAGTGATCCATCAAGCCTAACCAATCAGTGTACTATTGGAGCTTATAATCTTACACCCTCCAAGATTATCACCAAAATCTTTAGCACAATTGAATACCACATGAAATAGTTAATGATGCATTCATGAAAAAATGATGTTTAAACTCATGTGTCAACACGTTTATACCTTCCAAACTGGACATGACATTTCCCGCTGGCAGATGGATGAAATTTGCAGTCGGTAAATGTTGTGGAAGGGAGAATGGCGCAATCATCGACAGTTGTGAAAGTGGGAATGGTGTCGGCATGGAATGGTCCACATATGACATTGGGGTCGACACAGAATATTGTTGAGGTGGCTGAAAGATCATTCCGCCATCAACCATATTGCTATTGCTTTTCCTTAGTCTCCTACTTGTGCTTGACGTCGCACTGGACTACATGTGCATCAACCAAAATTTTAAAAATGTGAAGAATAGTGAAGATCAATTTTTACCTATTAACACCTCAGTGGGGAATGTGAAGAACTATTAACACCTCTGCAGGGAGAGTGATGAAGAGTGATGAATTTGGGTTTGTATGATTTTTATCTACAAGGAAAACGGTAGGAAAAATAGAAAATAATTAAGGAAATAAGTTTTGTAGTCCACACTTGCTTAGCTTTCCTGAAAAAAAAAAAAAACTAATGTCATGTTGGAATAGTTGGTGTGTTATAATTGTAGTTCACGGTAGCAATTTTCGCCTCTAAATACTCATGGCGCGTTGGATTTTTCATGCCCCGTTTTCATCCTGGATTTAAGTCTGTTTAAGCAACTTTATTGAATAATTAAATAATATTTAAAAAAAAAAAAAATCTTATTACACATCCATTGACGTGCCAATTATGTACTCTCTAGAACCTACGAAGAATTCTCAAATCATATATTCCTAACACCTTACATATGCAT